ATTCACATTCCAGTCCTTGGACAGCAAGAGTCACGGATCCAGCCGCGCAGTGCATAACCTATCAAATATGGAGGCCCTGGTCACCTGGAAATGCAGGTAATATCGTCGGAATCAGTCTGGTCGGTCAAGAGGCATGGAACGAGCCTACGCGTCGTTCTTATCATTGGTTGTTTCTCCCTAAATTGATCACTAACCGATGACTATTGGTGGAGCAAGACAGTCGAGAGCGGGCTCATATCAGCCCTCCTGACACCGCCCCGACGGATTGCGAAGATGTCAAGTATAGGGCGCAACCAAGCCGCTTGACCGCTATTTCAGGCCAAATCGCTGCAATGCTGTGCGCTCACGGCCCTGTGACGCTTGCTGTCCAAGGACTGGAATGTGAATGGATGAGGCTAAATGCAACAGAACAATTTTGAAACCAAGCACAATTCGAACAACGGCAGTAAAAAGTAGGCTAGCTGCTACAATTGGCCTAGCTTAGAATCATACAACAACCGCACTTTAAGAAAACGAATCCGATAGTGACGAATACAAACCAAATCGACTAACACAGTTGAACCGAAAAGTCACGGGCGGTGCTAACAATTGGACCTTTCGCCATTTTCTTCTCAGAACTAGCTCAGTTCTGTTTCAGAAAATAGTTTTTTACTTTGGTTCATCGAGCTATATTGGTTCATCGAGCTATATGGTGAAAAAACCCTATAAATAAATGCGAAGCACCGCATGACACACGGGAACACATTTAGCAAAAAGAAGTCCCGCCTGGGGTCAATTTTTTCCTATAACTCAACATTCTCTCGCAACAAAAGAAAAAGGGGTTATTCCAAGTGTAAGAATTGTCTTTAGATGCATGAAATTCTGATTTCTTAATGCCACAAAATGATCCACACAACCTCTGGAGGACTGAGGGCTAGACTAGTCAATCCATATTTCATTGTGGGAGGACTCCCAGATGCGTCCTGCTTCACGAAGTCCGCTGATGTAGGCGCCGGTCATCGTTTGTGGGAAGAATCGATTTGTGCACTGAAAACCTTGCATTGTAGTGAGCAAATCATTACACATCAAGGAAGAAAAAAAACTAGGCAAATTGTCCACAACTCATACGAAGTTTGATTATTTTCGGGATTCTCGCGGAGATAATTTAGGAATGAAGATTTTTCCATTTTCCCTTACATTGCCCAAGGTCGGAAAGGAGAGGCGTAAAAGGAACTGAACAGTGTTAGAGTAC